GCTTTTTCATGACATTTATAGTGTTGAGCTGTATTTTTTACTACACGGAATATTTGATACGTTGACTTTCGCCAGTTCAGTCCTAAATCCTCTTATATTTGGCTATTACAATAGGACCTTTAGCGACGAATTGAGAAAGTTCTGTTGTAGAGCAAAACGGTGTGGCGGACTATGTTTTACAAGGTGCAAACAAGAAGCGCAACCATATGTAAAAAACAGAGGAGTTTAAGCTAAAGAAACAGACTTGGAAACAACTCGGCTTTAATGTAAATGTTGTGCGTCATTTCTATCCCTGGTTCAGATTTTGAAAAATTTTGCTTTAAACTCATTATTGCTCACATTACCATAATATCCAAAAACAAGGACAAACTTGTTGAACGGGAATGCAAACAACCGTAATTTTTTCCTGCTATGCAGTATATGACAGTTAGAAATATACAGCTATAAGTGAATATATATGTGATATTTTAAAATTGGCTTTGCATCAATGCATTGATTTTCTTGTGCCTTGTTGATACTGATTATACTATGTGGGTGCGATTTCCCTATCGTTAAAGAAAACACAGCTTTAAACCAGTGGATCCCCTTTTTGTTTAAAGTTGCCTCAGATAGAAGGTTGTGTAAACTAATATATAGGAAATATGATTATTTATACGTAAGGGGCATTAAATTTTATCCAAATTTCTAGCGTAGAAGCTTTGTTAAATAAAAGTAAAATCCGGCAATAAAACTTGAAGGACAACTCGACCATTTACATGTTGTTTTAGAGTTTCCTCAGAATCTAAACTCTACAACGATCACTTTAATTCAAAAACTAGTTAGTCTAGTTAGCACTTGCGTACATCAGTATATTTAGACCACTGAAACAGACAAGTAGCATGAAAGGTTATAAAATTTGTTTTCTTGAACATATATTTCTCCAGTTGGCGAAGTAACATCTCTTCCACCCTCGCTAGGAGACCCTAATCTCAGCTGATACCTGGGCATTTTTGTTTTACTTCATATAAGGACATTTATGGTCTTTCTCAAGGGCGCCTTTCCAGTGGGGGAGAGCTGCGACCTTTTGGTATGGGTAACAAGGGCTCTGGGAACAAGCTTGCCCTGAATCCATGGTCAGTCCAATAAGACGTTTCCCTGCTAGAATTAAGAGGTCTCTTACGGCGAGAGAAAAATGAGAGTTTTCTCGCAGTGTCTCGCTGTGAGATACCTGTACTAACAGGGACATAACTAATGCAGGGTTCGTACTCTTTTTCCGTGACCTTTTCAAGTTTTCCAAGACCTTAGGTTTAGCTGTCAGTTTCAAAAATTCAAAAAGTTTTCTTGTTTTAGAGTATTTGTGACCTTAAACGGTTCAACAGACACAAACTCTAGGGTCCACCAAAAAAGAACGCCGTTTGCGCTGCTGAATTACTCCTCTCTATTTTACATTGTCCTTGCCTTGTCATCTGCGATAAATTATCTATCAAACAAAACTTTAATTTTGCATGACTTTGAAGGACGGACAATTGAATTCCATACCTTTCCAGGGTCTGGAAGATAAGATTCTTAATTTCCATGACTTTCCAGGTTTTACATGACCTGTACCAACCCTGTAATGTGTTTACTTTTTTCGTGTGTTATGACAATGTAGTTTCAGATTAAGGCAGTTCAGTTAGGGCTCATTTTTTACCCCGTCCTGATTGGCTTAAAACTGTAATGTGGGTGTTTCCTCGATGCTTATTGGCTGCTGTCTGAAGTGCTACGCACAGCTACTACTTTAGCCTTCATACTAAAAGAACGTAACACCTGCTTATATAGCTAGAAATTTCTTTCCAACAGCGCGCGTAGGCTCGATTACCAGCCGCTGTTCGGGAAATGAGCCCGCGCTCCTCCCCCCCCCAAAAAAGTTCGAGGTCACATGACATCTAAGGGACTGTGCAATAATTATCAGGAGGGGGGGCTGAAAAACTAGAGTTATCTAGCATAAACTTAGACAGTACCCCCCTCCCAAACAAAAAAAAATTAGTTCTAACCCCCCCTGTGTTATGTTAAAAATAGCCACCCACCCAAGATTTACACAAAGTATTTGCTAAGTACCGGGTGCTTACTACATTGGCTCAAAATCGAAAACTTCTGAAGCCAGAAAGAGAAAGGAGCAGAGAAAACAATCAAAGAACAGGAGATTGAACGCTTCAAAAAACAGACGAAAAAGAGCTTGCATTATATTTAGATCCTTGGGAGGAGAGCCTGATGAACTTTGTTATGAGCCAGATATATATGGAATTCAGCAAATCGATTCAGTCGATGAAGAAACATTACTTTTATTCCCATCAAAAACCGACAAAGCTTGTCTACGAGATCTGTTTGATTCCCATTGTTTTATGGGGGAAGCTGAAAAACAAGTTCATGATTTTTGCTTTACATAGGATCAGCTCAATTGATTAGAAGACAGGTTAAAATTGATCAGTTGTGAATTTGCTTTTCATTTTGATGGAATATTTTCAATAATCGTTTAACAGCTGTTCGTATTGATATTTGTTACAGTCTATCATGATGTCTGTATTGAGAATCTTTTATTGCGTTTAATTTTATTTACATTTCGAATAAAACTTAAGGCCCCCCTCCGTCAAATGACTGATTTTACTTTGAGCCCCCCTATCTTGGCAGCAATTTTATGTAATGCCCCCCCCCCCCTAGTTTTTCACCCCCCCCTCCTGATAATTATTGCACAGTCCCTAACAATGAAACTGTTTCCCGCCAAAATCTCTGAGCGGGCATGCGCAGCATTGCAAAATCTATGACGTCAATCCCTCAGGTCCAGTCATTAAGTGTTTAACATTAAGCTTCTTTGTTTGTTGACGCATGGTTGATGCGCAGTATTTTGAAGAACGCTAACCGAAATTCTCTCATACGTATGGAGTAAATGCAAGGATTACAAAACGAGCTTGTGAATGACAAAAAGCTTGCCCAGAACCAGAGATAATTTACGCACCGTCTGTCGCATGGATCAGCGGTCATACTGTCCCATAATGACAGTATAAAACTGGGACTCCATAACAACGCGAACAAACCAATCACAATACACAAAGTCCAGGCCGCTTTCTTGTTTTTAAGAACTTCTTTGCAGTACGCCGCATGTGTGCTGCTGCTATCCGCAACAATGCGCATACACTGAGTTCTAGCAGCCTTGAAAATGCAAATATAACAGTACAAGATGATGAAGAAAGGAATAAACACTGTTAGCACTGTTGTAGAAATCCATAACGCAGGTAGATCTTTAGCCCGGTGAATGAAAAAGCGAAGTGAAGCGTAGATGATAGAGAAAAGCCATGTCAATGCGACACAATACAAACAACGCTTCGCTGTGACAATTTCGAGGTAGTGCAAGCATTTTGTCACTGCAATATAGCGCTCTATGGAAACAGCAGTCAACGTAAAAGTTGAGATCACGACCGCTTGAAGCCATAACCAATGTTCGGCAACTCTTAAAGGATGATTCTCTTCAGCTGCGTTTACGAAGAATATCCAAGCGTAAACTGGATTCATTACCAGGCCAACTAAGAAATCAGCCACCGCGAGAGATAATATGAAGAAAATTGAAACTTTTCTCAAAGTAGAAAAATTGTAAATTGCTATTAAAATCAATAAATTGCTTGCCACAGATAAAACTCCAGAAAAGATATTAAAAAGGGCTAAGATCTTGTACGAAGAGTTTTCCATAGGTTCCTCTATTTTATCACAAAGCGTACAATTAGCGCTGTGCATTTTTCTTATTTGTCTTAAATTCTTAACCGGGTAGTTAAAACGTTCGTTGGTCACAAGGACGACTGCGGAGCTTCCCACATCAAAACTTCTCCTTTGTTAATAAAGATTTATTGGTTCATCACTCTTAAAAACCTTTTTGACGCGTGTTTATTTATTACTTTATCATCTCTCCCGGCCTTTTTTCTATCAAAAAGACAGTTGTGTTTATTCGCTTTTTTATGACTTTTAATTTCAGCAATCACTTTCATTCAGTTTCACACGTGGGCGTTATCAAAGATTGCAAATAAACTCCTTATTAATAATAAATGAAACTTAAAAGAGTTAGATCAAAACTTCAATCACTCTTTCATTGTTTCTTAAATTGACAGTTTTTCTACCTCTAGTCAGTGTCGATGTTTATCTCACCGTAAATTGTTTTTCTCATGGAACAAACCACCGATCACCCGGAGTCAAAGACCGACTATTTCTTTTTCGAGATATTAAACATAAAACTTGCGCACGATTTTAACACAACACTGAGAGATTCGGTGCTGGAAGATGAATGGCCGAATTTTCTTCCTTTTTTGTAGCCAATTAAAGTATAGGCGCAGCTGTGATATTTCCCAATAATATTCATTCACTTGTGTTGACAATTAAAGCAGCTGAATTTGCCATTTTATATCAGCTGCAGTACTCCAAAGGTTCGGAGCAACACTGTTGAGAGGCACAATCCTTGTCAGATACTGAGAACTACATGTATATCAGGACATATCAGCTTCATACAAATACAACAAAAGCAAAAGCTTCACTTTTCTACCAGCTGTCAACTCACTCTTTGTTCGTTTTAATAATAATAACAATAATAGACACTTATATAGCGCGGTATCCAGTAATTGCTCAAAGCGCTGTACAATAATATGGTGAGAAACTAGAGTTAAAAACTATTATAAGATAAAATAAAAATTAAATAAAGCTACTAAAATAAAACACCGTAGGCTAATTGAAATAAGTATGTCTTCAACTGCGTCCTGAACCGGTCGACAGATGTAACACTCCTGAGTTCAGGGGGCAATTGGTTCCATAACCTAGGAGCAGCTGCGGAAAAAGCCCTATCACCATACGTCTTTAACCTAGTCCTAGGCACGGCTAGAAAATTCTGGGAACTAGAACGAAGTAATCGTGGACCATTAGTGTAGCGTAAAAGTTCGGATAGGTAAGTTGGTGCCAAGCCATTTAGACATTTGTAAACTAAGAGTAAAATTTTAAAATGTATGCGATAATCCAGCGGCAACCAATGAAGTTTGAACAGGATAGGAGTGATACGGTCAAACCGCTTAGATAATGTAACAATGCGTGCAGCAGTGTTTTGTATCAGTCTTAACCTGTTTAACACGTGTTTAGGAAGACCATATAACAAAGAATTACTGCAGTTATCGAGTTTAGAGCTAATAACCGCATGTACTAAAATTTGAGAGGTATCTTCACTCAAGTACTTCCTGATCTTAGCTATGTTCCTTAAATGATACTGACAGGAAACGCAGATTTTGTTAACATGGTCGGTAAAATCAAGACTCTGATCTATAATCACCCCCAGATTTCGGGCGGAAGGTTTGGGTTGGATCTTCTCATCAACCACTTGGACAAACTCTAGAGAAGCCTGCAACGAAATTTTGAGCTGATGAGAACAAGTTCAGTTTTATCCTGGTTGAGTTTAAGACCATTGTTCACCATCCAACAATCAATGTCGTTTACACAGCATTCGACACGACGCTTAGCCCAAGAGAGATCATAGCTACAGTCAGTTCTAAACGATATATACAGCTGGGTATCATCAGCGTATAAATGATACTGTAACTTGTGGAACTTTATGATATCAGCAATGGGTGATGTATAGAGGAGATAAAGAAGAGGGCCCAGAACAGATCCCTGGGGTACACTGCCCTCTAGAGAGCGCTGTGTTGACCAACAGTCATGGACCCGAACAAACTGCGTCCGCGACGTCAGGTATGACTCAAACCATGCAGCTGCAGTACCGTTTACTCCAAAGCGGTCACGCAATCTTGATAACAGTATCGATTGATCAACCGTGTCGAAGGCAGCTGACAAATCAAAAGAAAAGAAGTATAACAGACTCATTCTTGTCAATTGCACACAGAACGTCACTCTGGACCCTTACTTAAGCTGTCTCTGTGGTGGAGTGAAAATTCTTATATGCAGACTGAAACGTCTCATCTAAGTGGTGTGCCATAACGTGATCTGTGAGTTGTATGGCAACTGCCCTTTCAACAAGCTTCGATACTACTTTTAAGTTCGAGATAGGACGAAAGTTTTGGAACTGTTCAAAACTGTTTCCCTGATGTAATTGCCTTCTTTGCTGGAAAGCTGGGCCAAGGAGTATCAATTTTCTTTAGCTTCCTGTNTCATAGCTACAGTCAGTTCTAAACGATATATACAGCTGGGTATCATCAGCGTATAAATGATACTGTAACTTGTGGAACTTTATGATATCAGCAATGGGTGATGTATAGAGGAGATAAAGAAGAGGGCCCAGAACAGATCCCTGGGGTACACTGCCCTCTAGAGAGCGCTGTGTTGACCAACAGTCATGGACCCGAACAAACTGCGTCCGCGACGTCAGGTATGACTCAAACCATGCAGCTGCAGTACCGTTTACTCCAAAGCGGTCACGCAATCTTGATAACAGTATCGATTGATCAACCGTGTCGAAGGCAGCTGACAAATCAAAAGAAAAGAAGTATAACAGACTCATTCTTGTCAATTGCACACAGAACGTCACTCTGGACCCTTACTTAAGCTGTCTCTGTGGTGGAGTGAAAATTCTTATATGCAGACTGAAACGTCTCATCTAAGTGGTGTGCCATAACGTGATCTGTGAGTTGTATGGCAACTGCCCTTTCAACAAGCTTCGATACTACTTTTAAGTTCGAGATAGGACGAAAGTTTTGGAACTGTTCAAAACTGTTTCCCTGATGTAATTGCCTTCTTTGCTGGAAAGCTGGGCCAAGGAGTATCAATTTTCTTTAGCTTCCTGTACAAAATGATATCAAAACACGCCTTAATATCAGGGCCATGAAGGGAAAAATGGTGTTATGGGAGAACACATCACTCAGTAACTGCTGCTTCCAAAAATTTCGGATCAAACGATATCTAAATCGTCCCTCATTGGATTATCCACTCGACCTAACAAAATCGAGCAATCACAAAATGAGGAAAAGAAAATGGACATAAAATAAAGAAAACAGCAAATTCAGATGACCTCTCAGGAAACATGTAATAAAAACTGTCTCTCTATGATTGGTGTATTTCGATCCTCTCATCCAAAAAACGTCAGACGCCAGTCATCTTAGTGGACCTCTTAGGAAACGAAAGTTTACTTCAACGGGTTCAAAAGGTCATTGTTTTTTATTTGTGATTGCTGGATTTTGATCCGTTTTGTGAGTTTTTGTGTTTCAAGGTTCGTAACGTTAATATTCCAAGTATTTTTGATAGATTTCATCCATAGACTTCAGACTTCCAAATTTCGATGAGGCAAAAATACTGAAGATTCAGATTAACTTTTGAGATCGTAAAAATGCGATAAAGTGCCGTGTGCTAGCAGAGCTCTCTTTCCCACATGCCTCTTACCTTGTACAAGACGTTCGCATGGCAGACATTCGCCTCGCTTCGCTTGTTTACTTGCCTTGTTCGCGTTAGCACGTATTGCGTGCCTATTGCACATTTGCGTCAAAACAAGCCGTTTCCATTACTCTATTTGGGCCACGCCCAAAAAACAAGCAATTTTAGTTTAAACATTGAGTATAAGGAACTGCGATAAAATATTCCTTAAAATCGTTGTAAAAAGTTCAAAACAGATGACGACGTTTCGACGTTCCCGGACTTCATTGTGAAGTCAAAAGAACATAGCTTATACACGTTCTATAAAAATTAATACAAGAAATACAAGCCATTTTCAGCCCCCCCCCCCTTCCTGATAATTATTGCACAGTCCCTAACAATGAAACTGTTTCCCGCCAAAATCTCTGAGCGGGCATGCGCAGCATTGCAAAATCTATGACGTCAGTCCCTCAGGTCCAGTCATTAAGTGTTTTATTAAGCTTCTTTGTTTGTTGATGCATGGTTGATACGCAGTATTTTGAAGAACGCTAACCGAAATTCTCTCATACGTATGGAGTAAATCCAAGGGTTACAAAACGAGCTTGTGAATGACAAAAAGCTTGCCCAAAACCAGAGATAATTTACGCACCGTCTGTCGCATGGATCGACGGTCATACTGTCCCATAATGACAGTATAAAACTGGGACTCCATAACAACGCGAACAAACCAATCACAATACACAAAGTCCAGGCCGCTTTCTTGTTTTTAAGAACTTCTTTGCAGTACGCGGCATTTGTGCTGCTGCTATCCACAGCAATGCGCATACACTGAGTTCTAGCAGCCTTGAAAATGCAAATATAACAGTACAAGATGATGAAGAAAGGAATAAACACTGTTAGCATTGTTGTAGAAATCCATAACGCAGGTAGATCTTTAGCCCGGTGAATGAAAAAGCGAAGTGAAGCGTAGATGATAGAGAAAAGCCATGTCAATGCGACACAACACAAACAACGCTTCGCTGTGACAATTTCGAGGTAGTGCAGGCATTTTGTCACTGCAATATAGCGCTCTATAGAAACAGCAGTTAAGGTAAAAGTTGAGATCACGACCGCTTGAAGCCATAACCAATGTTCGGCAACTCTTAAAGGATGATTCTCTTCAGTTGCGTTTACGAAGAATATCCAAGCGTAAACTGGATTCATTACCAGGCCAACTAAGAAATCAGCCACTGCGAGAGATAATATGAAGAAAATTGAAACTTTTCTCAAAGTAGAAAAATTGTAAATTGCTATTAAAACCAATAAATTGCTTGCCACAGATAAAACTCCAGAAAAGATATTAAATAGGGCTAAGATCTTGTACGAAGAGTTCTCCATAGGTGCCTCTATTTTATCACAAAGCGTAC